TCACCCTGCAGCAGGCCCTCTCCAGCGGCTACTTCAACAGCGTCATCACCACCATCGAGAAGCGCTTCGACATTAGCTCGCAGCTCTCCGGCGCCATCGTCTCCACCTTTGAGCTGGGCAACCTCGCCACCATCATCTTTGTCAGCTACTTTGGCACCCATCGCCACATACCACGGTGGATCGGCACCGGCATCGTCGTCACCGCCCTCGGCTCGCTCCTCTTTGCCGGGCCGCACTTTATGTCGCTCAATGGGGTGGGCAGTGGCGGCAGCGGTGATGGTAATGGGAACGGAAGTGGCCGCGGTTCGCTGGACAGCTCCGACGCGAACACCTGTCGCATTCCGCAGCCGCACCTGAGTTCGCCCTTCCTGGAGAAGGCCAGCTCGTTCATCAACCCGCCGACGGGGAAGGTGGACTACTCCGACCCGACCTGCGACGGCGACGAGGCCACCCAGCGGAACATTGCCCCGCAGATGCTCGTCTTCATGGTGGCCATGGTGCTGATCGGCTGCGGCGGGACGCCCATCTTCACCCTGGGCACCACCTACATCGACGACCACGTGCCGAAGGAGAGCAGCAGCATGTACATGGGCTGCATGTACAGCATGGTCGCCTTTGGCCTCGTCTGCGGCTTCCTCCTCGGCGGCTTCTTCATCAACGTCCACGAGAACGCATTTGGCACCGGCCTCCTCCCGCCCGAGCACGTCTTTCCCGGCCACCCCAAGTGGATCGGCGCCTGGTGGGCGGGCTTCATTCTCCTGGGAGTCCTCCTCCTCATTGTAAGTTTGGTTTGGGTGTTTTTTGATTACTTTTGTTTACCTCTTTCTCTATCTTTGCAGATTGCCATTCCCTTTTTCATCTTTCCCAAGTCACTGAAGGCGGCGACCACGGGAAAGCGATGCAAACATGAGCTTGGGGAACCACAGCCACAGCAGCAGCAGCAGCTGAACACCTCGAGTAGTTCGAACGCAGCTGGATCAGGAGCTATCATTGAGCGCCGTGCCTCCTCCTCCACTAAGGCCGCCATGATGGAGGAGACGCTGCAGGGCGAAGGGNTCTTTGCAGATTGCCATTCCCTTTTTCATCTTTCCCAAGTCACTGAAGGCAACCACGGGGAAGCGATGCAAACATGAGCTTGGGGAGCCACAGCCTCAGCAGCAGCAGCTGAACGCCTCGACTAGCTCAAATGCTGCTGGAGGTATCATTGAGCGCCGTGCCTCCTCCTCCACCAAGGCCGCCATGATGGAGGAGACGCTGCAGGGCGAAGGGTCGCTTTCCTTTCAACAGTCTCGCAATGAGAAGTACACAAAGGGCGCCGTGCAGTACGGCCAGTCGCTGGGCGAGATCCCCGCGGCAATGTGGCGCCTGGCGACCAACCCCATCTACATGGTGACCTGTCTGGGCAGCTGCATGGAGCTGGCCATCGTCTCCGGCTTTCTCATCTTCCTCCCCAAGTACCTGGAGACGCAGTTCTCGCTGGGCAAGTCGGAGGCGAACCTGTACGCCGGCGGGATCGCCATTCCCGGCGCCTGCGTCGGCATCTTCCTCGGCGGCTACCTCCTCAAGCGGCTGCAACTGAGTCCGAAGGGGGCCATTCAGGTGGTCCTCTTCTTCAACCTCCTCTGCATGGGCCTCTACACGGCGCTCTACTTTCTCGGCTGCGAGAACGTCAAGATGGCCGGCACGACGCTCCCCTACGCCAACTCGTGAGTAGTTGTTCGGAGGGTGTGATTGTTTGGTTGTGTATTGTTCTCATTCTCATTTTGTTTTCTCTTCCTCGCAGTCACTTTGAAGGTGGTGGTGGCACTGGCGCCGGTCAGCACCACCCCTTCTTCCGGCCGAACCTGACGAGCGACTGCAACCTCGGCTGTCGCTGTTCCTCCAACGACCTGGAGCCGGTGTGCGACATTCGCAACAAGATCAGCTACTACTCGCCCTGCTTTGCCGGCTGCACCAGCGTCGACCGCTACGGTCAGCGGGTGCAGAACTACAGCAACTGCGCCTGTCTGCCCACCGGAGGAGGAGGAGGTGCCGGCGAGGTGACCATGGTGCCCCTGGTCGTGCCCGGGCCCTGTCAGAACCAGTGCAACGCCATGATGCCCTTCATGGTGCTGCTCTTCTTCATCACCCTGGTCGTCTCCATCACGCAAATGCCCGTCGTCATGATCACCCTCAGGTACTTTGATTGTGGTGGTTTGGCTGATTCTAAGTTTTCTCTCCTTTTGCAGATCGGTGGAGGAGGAGGAGCGGTCTCTGGCGCTGGGCATGCAGTTTGTCCTCTTCCGTCTCTTTGGCTACATTCCCTCGCCCATCGTCTTTGGCAACGTCATCGACTCCACCTGTCTGGTGTGGAAGGCGCACTGCGGACTGCAGGGCGGATTCTGCCTCCTCTACAACATTGAGCAGTTCAGAATTCGGTGAGGGGGGGGGGAATGTGTCCTGGATTTGATTCTCATTGCATTCTGTTTGCAGGTACGTGGGCATCTGCTCGATGCTGAAGGTGACCGCCGCGCT